AAAAAACCATAGCTATCTTGTTCTCGCCACCTAGACTAATCCTGGACCCATAGGTTGTCATGGCAGCACCCCCCAGCTCGCCACTGGATTGTCTTCCTCCCTCGACTAATCCCCAAATCTCCCTACAAGGCCTCGCACTCCTACCATTTGCAGGTTACAGGGCAACGCCCCAGCTCCGGCCAGCGTCGTTCTGGCATCGGCATACCAGGGGCACAGAACAAAGCAACTATGTAGATAGCAGCCCGGATTCGACCATCTACGAAATTCTATCCCGACCGAGGAAGAAGGCCAAATGCCGCCAAGCTGGCATCGGCATACCAGGGGCACAGAACAAAGCAACTACGTAGATAGCAGCCCGGATTCGACCATCTACGAAATTCTATCCCGACCGAGGAAGAAGGCCAAATGCCGCCAAGNGGGCACAGAACAAAGCAACTACGTAGATAGCAGCCCGGATTCGACCATCTACGAAATTCTATCCCGACCGAGGAAGAAGGCCAAATGCCGCCAAGAATTACAGAACACCAGAAAGCTGGATATAACATGATTGATTTTTTACTTTTATTTTTTTGTGAATATCATAATTGAACATGGAAAGCCCCCCCGTACCCACCACCTTTCCCCCTGTCCAGTCGCTGCCTCCGCCGAAAAGAGAATATCCTAATTACAGACCTTTCTTATCGGCCCCAGCTAAGAACAGTCCCACACCCTCCCCATTAACCCCCAGAGGCATTCAGTTCCCACCCAAAGTATGCCTCTGCTTACCCCTTACCCTAATCTGGCCCCACTGAGGTTTGAAATCTCCCCTCAACCCCAGAATAGGGTATTCCTCACAAATCTGCTCATACCCCCTTCAAAGTATGTTACAGACAATTCAGACGCAGGTACGGCTATTGTCGATAGGTAAGTGGACCCTGAGAGATCGTTTTTGGACCAAGTAGGATCTGGTAGTTCTGGCACGGGACATTTTCCCGATTGGGACCGCCAAAGGGCGGGTCCGTTTTTTTTTGTATCGGTTCGCGGGTACTATAGTTAGTAGAGTAGCTTACTCGTATAAATTCAGGTTTTCTAGCTTTGTTTCTCATTCCAGCCAGGTTGACTGAGTGCGCTATTTCGACGACTTTTTCAAAGCGCCACCTGCGCTCGGAGTTCTGTTCTTTTCGTCTATGTCTGTCATGTCGTGTGTGTTTTGACCTCACGGTGTGTTAAAGTGCGATTTAGCACTATCATTCTTTTTAACTACTTACATGCACACAATAACCGCCGTAGCAATAGTACTACGATCATGTGGCTGTGCTCGACCTGTTAATTAACCTACTTTTCACTTTCATTATCTCTACAACTTCTCCTATATCTACCATGTATTCCTATCCACCCAGAGGTTCGTGCCATTATTGTCACCAGCACGGACACCGGATTCGAGACTGCCAGCTTCGGATCAACAATGAAGCCAACGGACAAGGAGGTAACAATGGCAGTTACGGAGGTTATGGAGGCAACGGTGTTTCATCGTCTTCCATGAATGGCGCTCCGATCTTGACGACACCGAACACAGAGGCTCCGAACAACGGGCAACAAGTGCAGCAAGGTGGGCAGCAGAATGCTTATCAACAGTTGTATAGGAGACCGTGGCAGGGAGGTTATCGTGAGCAGGGAGGCCATCGCGAGCAAGGAAATTATCGGGGAAAAGATGACCGTTTTGAAAGGATGTGGGGTTTCGTAAGTAAGGAGATGGAGGAGAAGGAACGCTTAGTGAAAGAGAGAGAGAGAAAACAGAAGGAAGAGGAGGAGAGAAAGAGGCAACAGGAGCAGGATGAGAAGAGACAAGGAGCAACAGGAGAAGATGGATTTTCAAGCGAATTTGGGGAAATTGATAAAAGGGTCGATGGCGGAGGTTTGTGAATCGATACTGGGCAAGAAGGTTGCTCCTACAGAGAGTGTTTGCGTCGAGATCAGCACCGAGCTTCAAAGACAAGCGATAGCCGCGGGAAGAAACCGGTTCAGGAAGGCAATCAAGAATCAGAGACCGAACGATTGAGAAGAGAAAATGAGGAGATGAAGATAGTCATGCGAATCAGATTGGCTGATAAGGAAATTGATTTGTTAAAACAAGAGAATATTGCGCTTTCAAAAGGGATCATCGAGCCGACAGAAGAGGTCAACGCTCTGAAAAAAGGAGAGAAGAGAAGTGCGAAAGACGTTACGGAGAAGAGTCCGTTGGTTGAGCCGGCGCGAGTCAAATTGAGGGTTGTCGATCGCGAGCTTACTCCAGGGGAAATCACCAAGATGGCGGATGCCTACAAGAGATTGCATGATGACAAAGACTATGCAGAAAGGGAGGTAGCTGCCCTGAAGGAACGTATTAACAGGCTGAAGATTCAGACATCGCCACCAGTCGTTAAAAGGAGGTTTGCACTGAGAAGCATGCAACCGACCAATCTCCGGAAGAAGACGACGCATCTGGCTGGTGAGCCGGAGGAGGATACAGAGGCTGAAAGCAGTCGTCCGAAAGTGAGATTTGAAAAACGTGAGACCAAATCGACGTTTACAAAGAGAGTGTTTCTGGAGCTGAGCAAGTTACGGACGAATGAAATAGAAAAATTGTGTCTGGAAGAGGGTCTTGCGTACACTACTATTCGCGGTTCGGCGACTGATTTGGCAGAAAGGTATGTTGGGGTTGCTTTTCCGCGATTAAGACAAACGCTCGTTATGGAAGAGGAGAAAGAAGTTGGGGAAGACGATGATGAATCCGTCGACATTGTGGGGGGAGAACCCAGCAATCGCGCTGAGGAGGTTTCCGATTGCTAGGAATACTCTCCAAGTGCCGGTGTTTTTCGTAACGATCTAGAGTGTGAAGAATTGGCCCTGACGTGTAGAGATCTAAGAAAGGAAGGCTCGTTTTGGAAGGAAGGTAAGCATGGAATTATCTTTAGATTAGTCGTTCTACTCTTAATTATCAGCTATCAGATTCCTTGGCTAGTTAAGTTCATTCCGTTCATTTCTTCTCTTCTTGCTGGTGGCTATGATGTTACTCAGTGTCCTGGTCTAGTTATTTATGCATTGGTTTCTCCGTGGTGCAGACATATGTACGTGGGGTGTACGTCCAGAGGTCTAGATGTAAGGTGGAAGGAACATCTTCAGAGAGCTAAAGAAGGATGTTCCGCAAAAGTTAGGAATCAGAAATTGTATTGATGGCTTAAAACTCACTGTACTTCCGATTATGTTGCTATTCCTCTAGTTGTGGCTACCACCTCTGATCTTCTTGCCTTGGAATCTTTTTTCATTCGGAGTTTCTCACCTTTTCTCAATTTGAGAGCTCTGCGTCATAGGAAGCATCGGGCTTGCCGACCTGGAAAAAGAGAACGTCGGAGGCTGAGAAATCGTAATGGTTACACCCCTACCGTTTCTTATATACTTTCCAAGAGATCTCTTATTTCCTTTTGCTCTTCTCTAGGCCATTCCTCGATTAGTCTCATCTCTGTTCTTGACCATGCTTTTCAGTCTAAGGAGTTGAGCTTTGCTATTTCGTGCCGAGGGGTCAGGATTTCTGTGATAACTGGAAAATCGTTAAAAGACTGTATGGTTCCTCAGTTGTTAGGTCGATTGTAGGCCTAGATCTTTTGAAAAATTGTCGAGAATGGTTTGTTGAGTCGAAGGAGGTCCGTGTGGATAAATTGTCTCGTTTTTGTTCCAGATTCGCGGAGGTGAAAACCTCGCTTACTAAATTGTTGTCTAAGCCAGGGACTACGAAGGATTTGTATTGCTTGCCACTTGATCGGCTTGTGAGACTATATTAATGTATTAGGAGTTTCTCGAGAAAATCGACCAGGTCATCACTCCGCAGTATCGTTGGTAGGGTGGTCAAGAATAAGTTTAATATTAAAATTAGGATTAGACCAGTTATCAGACTTGCGTATGACTGTGATGTTTCAAAAAGTAAGGTTAGAAGTTTATTCGTGCAGACCGTAAAAAGGTCGTCCGTTCGAAAAGCAATTCAGGATATTATCTGTTGAAAGGCTAGGGTCGTTTGGACTAAGAATAAGTCAGTAGGGGATATCTTGTTTAATTTTAGACCAATTTCTAGGCTATCTGAACTTCCATGTGTATGTGCGGATTCGGTTTTCCCGAGGGTTGGGGAACATGTTATTTTTCGGTTGAGTAAATTCGATGGTATTCCTTCTTTTCTACGTAATTCAAAAAATATTCCATCCCCAGGTCTTAAGTCCGATTTGCAAAATGTCAAGAAGTCAATTTTGAGTTGTTTAGAGGAAGTCCAATCTGATACTAAGCTCTTTTCTATTTCCGAAGCCAATCTCAAGAACTGTGTCAACGCCAGATCAGATAAAGAGAGACCAGAGTTTGACTGAAGGCAAGTGTTGTTGTGGAAAAAGAAGTTTGACAAGTACGTGATATGTCCTATAGATCATAACATTGGTGATACGCTAGTATGTTGTCCATCGTTTTACGAATTAGGAATGCAGAAGCTTTTTTTGAATAGTAAAGGTTTCGAAGCACAAGATAAGACGGAAGAAGCGGTCATCAATGGGATGGCGCAGTGGTATGAGAAGGATAATTTCAAAACTATAGCGAAGTTTAATGGTAAAGGTACTTTAGGAAAGGTCTATTGTATTCCAAAGCATAAAGATATTTGTCGTTGGCGTCCTATCTGTCCCTCCCATTCAGATCCTACTACTAGGGCTTGCCGAATTGTTGCTAAGGCGGTTAACTGTCTTCTCTGGTCCCTCCCATCTTCGTCACACTTTAACCTAAGGGCTACGAAAGATCTTAAGACAAGGATTGAGGAGATTAATGAGGTTATCGACAAAGAAGGAGAGGTAATAGCGACAAGTTTTGACATTAAGGAAATGTTTTCCGCTCTTCCACACTCATCTATCGTTAGGGCAGTTGAATGGGTAGTAGCGATGCATGAAGAGAAAGGTTTTTCAAATATCTTGTACAAAAGGAAAGGGAAAGGTGATGTCCTCTGCAGAAGGAAAACACTTCCCGAAGGGTGGGGACGACTGGAGTTCAACAAGCTGCTCAATTTTGTTGGGTTTGACCTGTCTTGTACCTATGTTTCGACAATGGGAGTAACTTTGAGAGAAAAGATTGGTATTCCCATGGGCAAACCTTCCAGCCCGGCCCTTGCATATCTTCTATGTGCCTTCAACGAGTATGAGTTCCTTAATAGTTTAGGTCCCTCCCGAGAACTATTTTACGATGTTAGGCTAGTTGACGATGTTTCAGTTTTTACAAGCTTCAATTCGAGAGATGATGCGTCCAGACAAGTTGTTGAAGAAAGGATTCACAAATTTAGTGTTTCGTATAACAAAGAGTTGGTGTTGGAAAGGACTAGCGAAGGTAGCGAATGGGATTACCTTGGCTGTATCTTGAAGGTGTTTTAGAGTCCAGTGAGGATTCTGTGTGCTGCCACTCATAAGAACGAGAGAACAATTCTGGGACAAGGTATTGTGTTTCAAAATTTGCAGGATTACATGTCATATTTGCTTAAACAACAGAAGATGGCAGTTTTGGGTGCTTTTTTGCACAAGCTAAAGGATTTGAACTGTATGCCTGGCGCTGATTTGTGTTTCCTGTTTACATTGAAGATCGAATTGGGATTAAGAGGCTTTCTAGATGATTTTTTTTACCGTGTGCTTAGTATATTGTCAAGAAGATTTAACAATAGGTGGCAACGTTGGGTACATTGCCTTACAGGGTGGTCCAAGTGTTATGAGGTACGGCGCCCGACAATTGAGTATGTTACAGACAATTCAGACGCAGGTACGGCTATTGCCGACAGGTAAGCGGACCCTGAGAGATCATTTTTGGACCAAGTAGGGTCCGGTAGTTCTGGCACGGGACATTTTCCCGATTGGGACCGCCAAAGGGCGGATCCGGGTTTTTTCGTATCGGTTCGCGGGTACTATAGTTAGTAGAGTAGCTTACTCGTATGAATTCAGGTTTTCTAGCTTTGTTTCTCATTCCAGCCAGGTTGACTGAGTGCGCTATTTCGACGACTTTTTCAAAGCGCCACCTGCGCTCGGAGTTCTGTTCTTTTCGTCTATGTTTGTCATGTCGTGTGTGTCTTGACCTCACGGTGTGTTAAAGTGCGATTCAACACTATCATTCTTTTTAACTACTACTCACTACCCACCTTGTGCAGCCCCTGCAGAGCAGAGCTCACCTCCCCCTCCAACCAACCTACCCATTTTTGGAAAATAATTCAAAAGACTAACGTGAGAACACCAAAATTACTGGTTGAACTGATTGCACGAGAGATAAAGGACCAATTTTTTTTTAAATAACAATTACAAATAGAAATACAAATATGGGAAATGCGGTGGAGTTCCACGACAGCATCAGGCGTGAACCGCCTGAACTCAGATTGAAAGATTGGTCTATCGTGAAGAGCCAAGGTTTAAGGTATGGATGATCAGGAAAATATTGGGAAATTATCAGGATTTTAGTTGGGATTTTAATTGGAAATGATAATTACGATAATTTCGATGACATTTGAGAATATAGTTCAGACATATCAGCGACTAAGAATAAAACAGAAGAAGAGAATTAAATAGGAATAAAATTGATGAGAGTCACAGTAAGAGTATTTCCGAAAAACAGATTCATGCATTCCTCCTACATAACCCAGCCCCTCCCACACCCTTCCCTTCTCCACTTCTGCCCATTATCACCCCAAAAGGAAGAAAAGAAGATGGACCAGGACAAAGCCAAGTAGAAAGACGCCAAGTGTAAAGGAGAGACGACCCTTGATACGTCAGACAATGAAGATGATGATGATAATGATGATGAAAATTACCGTCGTTATCCCCACATTATGAAAATGTTGATGATGATGATGATGAAGATTACCGCCGTTGGCAACGCAGTACGAGTGAAGGTCGACGACAAATCCACCAGGACACCGAAACTGAAAGCTGGCCAAAGTCGAAGAGAACGTCCCACCCCATGAAGCAAAGTATCCTCAGTCACACTTCGCTCCACGAAGCAGAAGCACCAACCCCCCCTCTCTACCTGCGCCAGCCTGCGACGCCAAGAGATCAGCACGAAACAGAACAGAAGACCATCGCCTCTCCCTCCACTCTGTCAACTAGAGACGCCACCATCCCCCTTGTAGAGTAGCAGCGCTCAACGCCCGTATCCCTGTGATGTCACCTCCCTCATTTCCTTTGCTGATGTGGCAGTGTTGTGACGACTCCCCTTATTAACCTTCACGCAACAGATACGGCTCCGCAGCCGCGCACGAGCGCTGCTCCACCTGGCAAGCAATACTCGCTAGCAGCGCTCCACCTGCCAGCGACACTCCACCTGCCAGCGCACCGCCCACTAGCCGCATTCCACCTGGCAGCGCACCGCTCGCTAGCGGCACCCCACCTGGCAGCGCACCGCCCGCTAGCAGCGCTCCACCTAGAAGCGCACGGCCCGCTAACAGCACTCCACTTGACAGCCCCCCTCCCGCTAGCAGCACTCCACCTGGCAGCACACCGCATGCTGGCAGTGCTCCACCTGGCATCGCGCCGCCCGTTGACAATACTCCACCTGGATGGCAGGGTTCCACCTGGCATCGCACTGCCTGCTGGCAGCGCTCAACCGCGCGACTTGCGTCTGCCCGCTGGCAGTTACCCACCGTCCCATTCTGTTGATTTGCTTAGTTAGCAGATTTTGTGCCATTTGTGGGGCCGATCCATCTTTAGTGACCATGATTCCTAGGTATCTCATTGGTTCCTCAGGTTGTTCCCACGTCATATTTGCTTCAGGGCCCTCCATCTGAGGTCTCCCTTCATCAGATAACCACCACCCCACCGTCTTTTTCCTATTGACGTTCATTTCCGACGCTAGCCTGAATGCTTCCATTGCCCTT